GACTTGAGATTTTTGTCAGGGTGTCTCCGTCTTGGCATTCGGAGCACTCGGGACCAGATGACTGTTACATTGGTGGGGTTGGGGATGAGGGTGGGTAGGCGTCTATCTATTGAGGTAAGGATGAGTAGGTACATATGTATGTATGTGCACAGGGGGCCAGAGTGTTGCTCCTTGGGTGCCATCCCCCCTCACCTCTTTTTTTTTTTTTTTTTTTTTTTTGGTTTTTCGAGACAGGGTTTCTCTGTGTAGCTTTGCGCCTTTTCCTGGAACTCACTTGGTAGCCCAGGCTGGCCTCGAACTCACAGAGATCCGCCTGGCTCTGCCTCCCGAGTGCTGGGATTAAAGGCATGCGCCACCACCGCCCGGCCCCCCTCACCTCTTAACAGTGGTGCTGACAACTTCATTTTTATTTTACTTATTCATTTTTGATATTTTGAGACAGGGTCTCACTATGTAACTCTGGTGGGCCTCTGTCTCCCAAGTGGTGGTATTAAAAGCATGTGCCACCACCGCCTGACTGGCCTTGACAATTTTATACATGTCTTAATGTATTCTGCTCACACTTACCCTCCCATCCTCTCTTATCCCAATCCTCCCACCAAGGCTTCCTACCACCATCATGTCTGTCTGTCTGTCTGTTTGTTTTGCTGAGGCTGGGTCTCACGATGTAGCCCTGGCTGTCCTGGACTCTCTATGTAGACCACACTGGCCTCGAACTCACGGAGATCTGTTTGACTCTTCTGCCTCGGGGGTAGTGGGATTAAAGGCGTATGCCACCATGCCCAGCTAGTTTTGTTTTGTGAATTTAACCTGGGCTGCCTTCGAGGGATGGCCGTGGAACTATCCCCTAGAGGTACACCTCTGGAAATGATGACTCCTGCTGCCACCAGCTGCCATCAGATGGCCAGGAGCTAGGCCCTGTAAGCCCCCCCCTTGCCTTATATATATTTAAAATGATTTACTTTATTTTTATTTATGTGTGGTTTTTCTGTGTGCATGTGCACATGAGTTGGAGTGCAGGCGGATGGAGTCCAGAAGAAGGCATCAGATCCCGGTGTTCTAGGCAGTTGTGAGACGTTTTGTGGATGCTGGGAACCAAACCTGGGTCTTCTGCAAGAAGAGCAAGTGCTCTTTACCCCTGAGCCATCCCTCTGGTGCTCCCCCATTTTATTTTTATAAATATGTATGTATTTATTATTAGTGGGGGGCATGTGCCATAGGCTGTGGAGGTCAGAGGTCAGCTTTTGTGGAGCTGGATCTCTCCTTCTGCCTTAGTGTGGGTTCTGGGGATTGAACTCAGGTCACCAGGTTTTTGTGGCAAGTGCCCTACCTGCTGAACCAACTCACCAGCCCACTACCCTGTTTTAACGGTGCTGCAGTATTCCATGTGTACATGAGCCATCTTTAAATGAGCTGCCCTCTCTTGAACATCATCCAGATGTTTCTGACACTGTAGCAGTCATCCATTGCCGGGTGAATTTCACACACCGCAAGTCTATCTATGGCTGATCCCTAGCCGTGGAAATGCTCAGTCAAACAGGAAGAGCATTTGGCCTGCCGTTGTGATAAGAACGCTGCCTCCATAAGGGAGCTCCCAGCTCAGAGCTGTGTGTGGTTCACCACAGCCCTGCTGGTGTTACCAAATGGGACGATGCCCTTCTGATAGGGGAGAGGCACATCGCACTGTGCTTCTGTCCTACCAGAGGACTGAGTCCACTTTCAAGTTTTCATCTCTCAGTGCCCTGTGAGTTTTAGCCATTGTCCTTTGGGTGACTAGACTTCTGAGATTTGAGGAGTGACATGCATGAGCTGAGCATGGACGTATGTGTCTGTAATCCCAGACTTGGGAGGGAGGCCAGGCGTTAAAGGCCAGCCTGGGCTACATGAGACCTTGTCTCAAAAACAAACACCCCTTCCTCCTGGAAACATAAAAACAAAGGGCTGGGAGATGGTTCAGTGGGTGAAGATGTTGCTGTGGGAATATGGAGACGTGTCCAGATCTCCAGCACTCACGCAAAAAAGCCACGCACGGTTGTGTACGTGTGTGTGTGTGTGTGTGTGTGTGTGTGTGTGTGTGTGTGCATGCTCACATACATGTGCCAGTGCTTGTGTGTGTAGACAGGAGGATCCAAGGGGCACACACGCGCGAACGAACACACACACACACACACACACACACACACACACACAGCATATATGACCCTAGCCCTGACCTCTTCCCTCTGCTATGTTTGGCTCTGTAGAACTTCGAAAGCTCCGAGGAGGACCCTGTCCAGTCACTCTGAGCTGCCAGGGAGTGGCTGGTGGTCCTGTAGTCTAGACAGCCAGGCTTCTCCACAGGAAACGTCACCCATCAGTCTGGTTTCAGCGGCTAATGAGGCTGACATTGCACACCCCCAGGAGATGCCATCATATAAAGAGACTGTGATGTGACAGTGACATGGTGGACCTGTGACGACCAGAATGGGCCTGGCTGTGGGTAGCTAGAATTCTGCTGTCTTGGCACCAGGCAGGTCCCATGTATTTCTGAGTACCTGGGGCTGGGCAGGGCCAGTTGTTGGCTCCGTGTGCAGTATCTTCATGGAACAGAATAGCCTCCATACCATGTTTATGACAGCAGGGATGTGGCTTCTTAGGAAGATTACCTTCCCACTAGTCAGTTTGCTGGAGGAGGTGTGTCCAGGGGGCAGAGGAGATGGCCCTGTGAGAGAAGCCTGAGAGCTGATGGCAGGCAGAGGGGGTTGGAGGGACGGACGGACGGACGAACTGACGACCCTCAATAGGCCCGAGTGTTGCTCTGGGCTTAGGTGGGTCCCAGATCCCCAGTGAGCTGAGTTGAAGTGGTTCTCACCACACCTTGGATCCAGAGCATTCTCAGCAGAAGCCTAGCTTGTGGGACTGAATCTACCCGCAGTGGGCAGGGCTAGACAGAGGCTAGCCCTCCGACCAGGGCCATAGTGTGGGGCTACCCTGGGCATCATTGAGCCAAGGAGGCAGTAGGGAAGCTGAATGCTTTTTTGTTTCCCCCCAAACCATCAGTGTAGAGAGAAGCCTGTGGTTCTGTCTGGAAGAAAGCAGAACATTCTTTGTTGGCGGGAGGAAGGAGAGACAGGGTGGCTCACAGCCCCTACCCCCAGGCTGGGCATTCAGGCTTGTTTAGAGTCCCCAGAGCTGCGGTTGTTCATTCAGACTGAAGTGCTTGGGGTGCGGGTAGGGGATCTCAGGGCTGGAGCCCCTCTGAACTGCACCACAGAGGGGAGTGTAGCACCACCCTTCCCTTTTTGAAGACCCTCCTCCTGTGCTGTGGCCACAAGACTGGGAAAGGAAGTGCTGCAGAGGGCACCTGATGGCGGGGTGGGGGTGGGGGACTGTGCCCAGCCCTGGGCCTGGGGCACCTTCGGCAAAACTCTGTTTGTCCATTGAGTTGAGTCAGGCTCCGTGCCTGGCACCCTGTTCCTCGGGCTTCTCAGATTCGAGGATGGAGGGCAGGAGGTTGATGCTGGTCTGTCCCATTCCCTGTCTTCTGCATGACTCGGGCTTGTCCCCAAGTCCTCTGAGACTCCAGATGGGGCTCCTCACCCTTCTGCAAGGGCAGAATTGTTCTATTGTCTGATGCAGTGGCGACAAGTCACATTGTGGCTGTTGGGTCCTTGTGGTGGGACTTGTGTGACCAGAGAGCTGTGTGGCAAATTGTACTGAATTTCAACGTGGCTGTTGGCTGTTGGCTTGGGGTCTGAAGTCTGGAATCTTGAGCCTCATGAACCTCTCCTGGCAATCTGGGCTCCTGGAGAGTGGGAAGTGACTGGAGCATGGGGAGAGCGTCACCTTACCCCAGACCCTAGCAAAGTCCATGTTGTTGTTACCAAGACTTTATTTATTAAATTGTGTGTTTTATTGCTTTTTGTTTATAATAATTTTTATTTTTTGAAATTATAATTACATCATTTTTATCATTCTCCTTCCTTCCTCCAACTCCTCCCGTCCACCCTGCTGTGGCCACTCTCTCTCTCTCTCTCTCTCTCTCTCTCTCTCTCTCTCTCTCTCTCTCTCTCCTCTCTTTTTTTTTTTTTCAGACAGGGTTTCTCTGTGTAGCTTTGGTGCCTGTCCTGGATCTTGCTCTGTAGACCAGGCTGGCTCTGCCTCCCCAGTGCTGGAATTAAAGGCGTGCACCACCACTGCTTGGCCAGCCACTCTCAAATTCATTGCCTCTTTTCCTTTAGTTGTTGTTACTTACATACACATACACACACACACACACACACACACACACACACACACACACACACACACACTTCTAAATACATAAAATATACAACCTGCTCTGAAGGGGACCCTGCAGGTGTCACAGCAGGCAGGAAAGTGGCCAGTGAAGAGGTAAGAGTGGAAACTTGGTTCAGATGGACTTCATCAACCTGGATCAAGACATCGGCGAGTCTGAGCGCAGGCGGTCTGTAGAAGGCTTTTGTTTGGGCCACCAACCAGCTCCCAAATCACGACATGAAGACTTCTATTAGTTATGAATGCTCGGCCTTATCTTTGCTCTTACTTTAATCTGTTTCTCTTTATCTACGTTTTGCCTCAGGGCTTTTATCTTTTTCTCTTTCTGTATATCTTACTTTCCTGCTGTCTCCATGTCTGTCTGGTGGCTGCCTGGCTTCTGGCCCCTGGGGATGTCCCTCTCCTTCTCCCTCCTTCTGTTCTTTTTTTTGTTTTGTTTTGTTTTCGAGACAGGGTTTCTCTGTGTAGCTTTGGAGCCTGTCCTGGGACTCATTCTGTAGGCCAGGCTGGCCTCGAACTCACAGAGATCCGCCTGCCTCTGCCTCCTGAGTGCTGAGATTAAAGGCGTGGGCCACCACCATTGGGCTTCTTCTGTTCTTCTTCCCCTCACTTTCTCTCCAGTTTATACTCTCTGCCCACCAGCCCTTGCCTATCCCTCCCCTGCCTAGCTATTGGCTGTTCAGCTTTTTATTAGACTAATCAGGTGCCTTAGGCAGACAAGGTAAAACGCAACACATCTTTACATAATTGAACAAATGCAGCATAAACAAGTGTAACACACCTTCACATAGTTAAAGTAATATTCTGCAGCATAAACAAATGTAACACATATTTGCCTAGTTAAAATGATATTCCACAGCAGTGGTCCACTGTCAGCATATTTAAAAAAACAGTACAATCTGGGGGAAAGTTTCCAGGCAACAAGCATCCCAATTCTAGATGCACAATAAAGCTTAAAGTGTGACTATAATGAAACTCCTTTGCAAAGTACATGTGACCATGAGTGTGGGTTCTATGGCTAAAAGGTTTAGAATCTAGTGTGGTCTCTGATTGAGATGGCATAGAAGTCAGCAGGCCACAAAGTGCATGTGACATCTCCCCTAAGGATGTCTTCTATTATGTGGGAGCTAAAGATAATGATCTAGGGAGGGAAGAATCTGGAATAAACATTCTGGGTGAGGTCTGCCCCCACGGACAGCACAAAGGTCACCAGGTCACTAACAGTGTTCACTCCCAGCCTTCTGGGTGGGACACAGGTAATTCCTTTGAGAAGAGGTCCCTGCATGTTTAACATTACTGGTTTCCCAAGTGTAGCAAGACTTCTTATTAATTATGAAATTAATTAATTAAATGAATCAATGACACAGAGACTTCTTATTAACTATGAAAGCTAGGCCGATAGCTTAGGCTTCTTTTAGCTAGCTCTTACAACTTAACCCATTTCTGTCCATCTATGGGCTGCCACGTGGCTCACGGTTTGTTACCTCATCTTCTACATGTCATGCTTCCTCCGTGTCTCCTCTTGACTCTCCTTCCACCCCCATCTCTGCCCTTCTTCCCAGTGTCCTCTCTGTCCCCCAAATCCTGCCTGGCTATTGGCTGTTCAGCTTTTTTATTAAACCAATCAGAGTGACACTTCTTCACAGTGTACAAAAAGAGTATTCCACAACACCCAAGTGCTTATTTGTGGGCACAGGGACCTTTGTACCCCCAACACTGCTCAGTCTGTATAATGTTACTTGCATGGATGAGATTTCAGGGCTGACCACTTGATATTGGATCACCACCTGTGGGCTGGGGAGGGCCCTTCTCTGGAGAAGACCATTTCTTCTGCTCTCCGTGCCCCCTGTAGGTCTCTGTCTAGAGTTGACGCCCCGTGAGATCTGCCGCTTCCGGGTTAGCTCATCCATTTGTGTCACTGTTCAGGTCTTGTTTAGGCAGCCATATTGCTGAGACTCCATGGTCGTAGCCTGTCTGACATTTCTAGGAGACACAACCTCACAGCAAGCTTCCTGTTCCTCTGTCTCTTACGATCTTTTCCCAACCCCAATTCCACAATGATCCCTGTGCCTTCGGTGCAGGAGTTGTGTTCCGGATGAACACAACTGTTAAGACTGGTACCACGCAATCTCTTGTTCTCTGCATTTTGAATGGTTGTGGTTTTCTTTTTTGGAGCTGAGGATTGAACCCAGGGCCTTGTGCTTGCTAGGCAAGTGCTCTATCACTGAGCTAAATCCCCAACCCATTTGTGGTTTTCTTTAATGGTCTCTGTCTGTCTGTTGTAAAGAGTCTGACGAGAGGTGGAAACTACACTCGTTTGTAAGTACAAGGACAACTATTAAGAATATAGTTAGGAATTTTCTGGTTTAGTAAAGTGGTGGTGGTAGGTTCTCCCCCAAGATGCATGACCTCACTTGTGCTGAGCAGTCGGTTAGGTTTCCAGTACCAGGCATGACATCTCTCTTGTTGAGCAGGCCTTCAGACCAATCAGAGAGCCGTTGGTTACTGCCCAGGCGTGGGTGCCACGGCTGGGGACATCGTGCCATGCTGGCTGTTGTGGTTCAGAGGTAACACAGCTGGCTGGGACTGTTGGCCCTGCTTCCCTTAGAAGCTTGCGCAGCACCTTTTGGTACCAGGAAAGCTGGTCTTTGGTGAAGAGGCTTTCAGGCCAGATCTAGCTTGGAGCCTTCAGGTCTTGTGTCTGAAATGCATAGGCTCTTCAGCAATAGGGGATTCTCTTCCTCCTGTAGGAGACAACCATGCAATGGTATCAGCAACAGCCTGTACGGCTTCTTGAGTCTCTAGGGCAACCCTGACCAACAAATCAAAAAGGGGCTTCTCGTGCTTGGTGTTGGGTTTTCGTTAGACAGTCTATGGCTCCTAAATTTAACTTAAACCGTGTAGGTGTGTGTATATACAGTTTCATATGGTTTATAAATAATTTTAGGTAGATAGATAATATGATTCCTTATGACATTTCGGACATTCTTACTGTTATTTTACCCTCCTCCCTCCTTCTAGATTTATCTCCCTCCCCATCCGTAATTAGAGTTCCCCCATTTTTCCCACCCCCCCATTCAAGTCATGTGTACCCCGCGCTCCCCCTCTATTGCTCCTTCCCGCCCACGGTCCCTTTTCTTGTAAATTCCAGACTTGAGATAAACTCAGTGAGGAAAAGCCTAGGTTAAACCCAGAAACACTCTGTCCGACTTGAGACAGCATAGACTGACTGGAAATCATGGAGGGAAAGGAGCCCCTCACCTCAGAGTCTGGTTGAGAATTGAGAATTCCAACACAATTCACATTTGCTTAAAGCCATTTGCCCTTTAAGCTGCTATAAGCTGCAGTCTTCCAGGACTCTCCCCAGACTGGCCTTTGCAGTATGAGGCCATATCCTAAGGGTCTTGTGAAATCGTGTGGGGTTATCTTATCAGATGGTAATGTCGTCCAAGGCACCTTGGAGCCACCTTATAATCTCAACTGTTGAAGAGGGTGTCAGAGGTAGAGGAGGCAAGGGTCCCTTAGAAACATGCTGAACAATGACATTCCAGACACTTCCAAAGTCTCCCCGTGCCTCCGCTGGCCCAATGAGGGCTTCTGTTGTAAGGAGCCCTTGTTCAAGCTCTCGGGTAGGCTTTGCTCTTTCCCTGCATTCCTCTCCCTCTCCCTCTCCCCCCAGCTCTCTCTCTTAACCACTGAGCCATCTCTCCAAACCACCTCTCTCTCTTTTGAAAGGGTCTCACTGGTAGCCCTGGCTTGCCTGGAACTTACTGTGCATATCAGATTGGCCTCCAATTCAGAGATCGCTCTGTCTCTGCCTCCCCACTGCTGGTATTAAAGACTTGTGCCACTACAACTGGCCTTAACGTTTTGTTTATTCTAATTTGTTATTATGTGTATGTGTGTGGGTATGGGCCAGAAGCATCAGATCCCGCTGGAGCTGGAATCATCTGAGTCCTCTGCAAGAGGGGTATGTGCTCTTGACCATTCCGTCATCTTCCTAGCATTGTGCCCTGCCTTTAACCTGCTCCCCTGCCCTTTTTGTGTAGAGCTGGGCATCAGATGTAGGGCCTCAGACATGCGGAACTCTGTCACTGAGCTGCACTCCCAGCCCCATTTCACGTCTGTCCAGTCTGTGGCTGTTTTGACTGGTTGTTGGTCCATGAGTCACTCGGCTGCTCTGGTGTCTGAGCTGGACCCTGATGGGAGGCATGGCTCAGCTCTCAGGTATCCCCAACGTCTGGTTGCATCTGCAGTTTGCACATAAAGGACCAGAGCTGGCTGGAGGTCAGGGGGCTGCACCCTGCGGGGAGGGTCCCAGGGCACCCAGTGGAAACCATGGTGCCTGCTGGACTAAGGCAGTTCTCTGCCTGCTGACCCTACATTAAGCCAAGTAGCAGGGTGGCAGGGGCCTCTGAGCTGGGGGTCACACCACTCTGGTGGCTGGGGCACCTCAGTGGCACTGGTGCTGCCAAAGGTAGGTGAATAACAATTACTCCTTGTGAGGCCCACCGGGGACTCACAGCTTGGGGGAGGAGTCAGTGGTGCTGTGGGATGTCTTTCTGTACGCTGTGAATATATGTTGTTTCCACTGGTTAATACATAAGCTGCTTTGGCCTATGGCAAGGCAGCTTAGAGGCAGACGGGGAATCCAAGGAGAGAGACAGGAAGGAGAAAGGCGGAGTCTAGGGAGACACTAGCCACAGCCCAAGGAGTAGCAACATGCCGGCAGACCAGTAATGCCACGTGGCAACTTATAGATTAATAGGGATGGGTTAATTTAAGATGTTTGAGCTAGCTAGCAAGAAACTTAAGCCATGGGACATACAGTTTGTAATTAATATAAGCCTCTGAGTGATTATTTTATAAGTGGCTGTGGGGCCAAGGGGCTTCTTCTTCTCCCTCCTTCTCCTCCCCCAACCTCTCCAGGGTCTCATTTATGTACCCCAGGCTGGCCTCAAACTCAGGAACTCCCAGGTGTTGGGACCACAAGTGTGCACTACCATGCCTGGCCGGCCTGTTTTCATGAGAACATGCTGAACACACACGTGCAGGGCTACCACATTCCTCACATCCCTGGGGCACCACTCATAGAACACAATGTGAGCTGTATATACATGCAATGCATGCACACACACACACACACACACACACACACACACACACACACACACTTTCCTCTCAGGGTACCCAACTGAGTTTTAAAAGCCAAGTGTTTTAACCCACACCCCAGAGGGCTTTCCCCAGGACATCTGCAGTGGGGTGCTTTTTGCATCCAGCCCTTCAGGATCCCATCCAACTGTCTCCACAAGGTGTCCCCCAGTACCTACAGGCTCACTACAAGCCAGGGAGCCACATTTCCACCTGGAGCAGATGGCTAGTAAACTCCTGACTGTAGGGCTGTGAATCTATAATCACCTGTATTCCCCTGCAGAGATGATGATGTACAAGCTCAGAGGGGAGTTTTGTTGCAGATGCCTTTGGCAAATCCTGTCAAAGCTGTGAACCATCAGATTGCCTTGTCAATAAGTGCCGGGGATCCTCTTGTTTCTGCGCTAGGGAGATGGAAGCAGGAAGATCAGGAGTTCAAGGCTAATCTCAGCTACATTGTAAGTCGGAAGCCAACTGGCCACATGAGACCTTATCTCAAAAAACAAAACACAAAACAAAACAAAAGAGTTCAACAAATGTTTACAAAATGCCCACGCTGTACACGGACTCACTGGAGTCAGTCCCCGTTAAGGAGTTAAGCCCCATCCTGCCCGTTTCTTTATTTGAGTGCTGATTTTTCCCTCACTAATTGTCCCAGTTTTTAGAGAACGGGGTCTTGTCAGCTTGCATGATGTTCTGCAGCACATAGGTGCTCTGGCAGCCTCAGTCCCTGACCCCAGACCTCCTCACACAGGGCAGGACCAGCTGTGTGAGCTGTCACCAACTGAGCATGTGCAAGAGGTCCAGGAGCTACCATGCCCAAGTAGGGATTCTACGTCTTAGACAGGTACCCCCAAAGGAAGAAGGCAGCTTCAGACTGTTATTGTCAGTGAAAGGGCTTGTGTGAAGATCAAAGCCTGAAGGAAGTAGGTGGTTCTCTGACAAAAACATGGTATTTTTAGAAGTTCTCTGTGGTGTAGGATGTTTTGCCCTAGGCTGCCTGTTAGTGAAGGAGTGATGCCGGAGGTGGGCCCCCCAGGCTGCCATCTTGAGCTGAGGGCTGGTGGGAAAGGGTTTTCTGGCAGGGGCTGGATCCGGGAGGCTGAGGGGGAGTGACCCACCTTACCTGAAGCTCAGAGTACCCACACCCACTTAGACCAGGGCTGTTTTGGGTTGAGGAGCAGGGGGCTTCAAGACCTCCCTGTCATGTAGCCCAGGCTGGCCTTGAATTTGTTCTTTAGGCCTCTACCTCTCCAGGGCGGGGGGTGAGGGGGTGGGGGGGTGGGGGTGGGGTTCTCACCTGTGTTCTACCACACCCCACTGAGGCCTCGATCAGAAGCTTGACCCGCCTCCACCCTCTGCCCCACCGTCAACATACACATGCCCTCCCCTTCTGGAGACTGGGGCCTGCACTCAGCAACCGTGGAGAACAGTGCATTCATTCTGTAATCAGGGCTAATTGGTGTGGTCTACAAGAGGAGAGATGCCAAGCTCCAAGGGGTAGAACAGCAGTGGTTTGCTAAACCAAATGCCTAGGAATCCACCAAGGGTCAGAATAGCTCTTGGGGTCTGGGGAACCTCAGGTAGGTGACAGGATAGTTAGGGAAGGTACCCAGCTTGGCCTGAGAGTGGGAATGGCGGGAGGGGGGGGCAGCATGTCTGTAGAATGCATGAGGATTGAGGATGACTGTGTCAGGGTCCTCCCTGATGGTTGTTGGGATCCCTTGTCCTTAAAGGTGGCTGGGAGAGTTGAGCGGGCCCTCCTTTCATGCAAAAGGAGCAAAGAGAGCCATGGGGGCGGGGGCTGTCCAGCCCTCCCTAGCTCTCTTCAGTGCCTTTCCCTTATAATCAGGATACCTTTGCCTTAATGTTTATGCCAAAATCCCGAGCAGCCAGGCTGGAGTAGCAAGCTGTAATTTACATCATTTTGCATCTGGGCTACAGGCTCTCAAGATGCAGCCTCTTGCAAATGGGGACCATATTGGAGAGGAGAAACCAAGAGGGGGCCACATTAGGATATGCTGTCAGGAAGCCACCTGCTTCTCGTTTGGGACCTGTGTCGGTTTGTTGCCCCCGTCCCAGCGCCCAGTGGTTTTTTGGAGATGGCAGAGAAGTCATGGGCATTCTCCTTGACGGGCATCCGGTACTAAGGCTGGGCTGAGCCACTTGCAAACCTCAGAACGTCCCATGCAAAGCTCTGCAGAGGTTGTTGGGCACACTCTGCTCTGTGTCCTCCCCAGGCTCCACAGAGCAGCCTCCTGGAGAAAGTAAAATGTGGTCAAGCCCTAGAGTCTGTGGGAGACCTGGGGCCCCTGGCTGGGGGCAGGGTCTGCAGGATTCCACATCCCCAGGTTCTAACTTCTGAAGCCTGAGAATAGACACACTGAGAATAGACACACTGAGAATAGACACACTGAGCTAGCTACACTGAAAATGAAGGGACCCAGGTCAGTTAGGCCTGATGGCTCACATCTTTAATCTTAGCACTCAGGAGGCTGAGGCAGGAGGATTGCAGTGAGTTGAGGGGAGTCTGGGCTACACAGTGAATTTTAAAGCCAGTCTAGTCTACCAAACGAGACTTTATCTCACAAAAAGCAAAATAAGCCAGGTGTGGTGATATATGCCTATAATCCCAGCTCTTGAGAGGTGGAGGCAAGAGGATCAGGGGTTCGATGCCAGGGCAAGGAATGTAGTCCTGTCGGTAGAGTGCTTGTCTAGCACACATGAAGCCCTGGGTTTGACTCCCCAGCACCAGGAGTGGTGATGCATACCTGTAATCCCAGGACTCAGGAAGTAGAGGCAGAGCAATCCTCAGCTATAAATGAGGCCAGCCTGAGCTACATGAGGCTCTGTCTTAAAACAGAGAAACTAAATAAATAAGCAAATGTACAATGACTGGGACAGCACACACATACATACACTGCACGTATGCACACACACACACACACACACACACTAGCATAAGTAAAGTAACTTTTAAGAATGCTGTCACAATGGTAATCTTGAATGAGGATCATGTGTGGGGCTGGGACATTTCCAGGAACGGCCATGCTTTTGGTTAGTTCATTAGTTTCTTTGCTGGGGTTTTGTTTTCAAATAATATAATGTGTTTATTAATTCTTTGATAATTTTATGCAATGTATGTTTGATTATAGTCACCCCCTTCCTCCTCCCAGCTCTTCCCAGATGCCTCTCCTCCCTACCCCCTCTACTTTGTTTCCCGGGTTGCACTCCCCACCCCCACCCCCTTAGAACAGACCGTCTCACAGCAACAGATGTCCTGGCCTTCTGGCTTTTAAAATCTTCTCTCCCCCTCTTCCTCCATATTTCCTGAGCCTCAAGTGGAAGGGTCGTGTTGTCAACGTGTTAACCGGGGACAGGTACTTCATGGGCAGTTGATCTCGGCAGTGCTGGCTCCTCTAACGATCTCTGTCTGCTGCAAAAAGAAGCTTCTTCGATGAGAAGTAAGAGCTGCACCCGTGGGTGTAGGGATACGTATTTAGAATGCACTTAGAGGTTATGTAAGTATATGTATAAAAGTATATACATATATGTATGTATGTATTCTATATAAGTATATAGAATGCTGTTAGAGATTGGATCCTCTTGACTGACGACTCGAAACTATGGGAGCGTTGTCACCCAAGTGTGTGTGTGTTAACACACCACACACACACATACACACACACACACACACACACACACACACACACACACACACTTTGTCTCACTCAGGCTGGCCTTAAACTCACTGTATCTTTGAACTGGTCATCGTCCTGACTCAGCCTGATGAGTAAGTGTTTGGGTCACAGGCATGAGCTACCGTGCCCAGCCAAGCTCTGTTCTTGCTCCTCAGGTTGCTGTGTGACTGTCTCTGATGCCATTGTGTTTTCTTCTGTGTTATGTTTTTTTTTTTAAATAAAATAGTTAATAATGAGCTTAGAAGTAGAGCTTTTATTTAGATCTGGAAGATACAGGGCCAAGGCTTTCACCTCTAACATTGCAAAAAAATAAAAATCAAACTTAAAACATTTGGAAAGCTACAGCAGGGGTATTGAACAACAGCCAGGCCCCCACTGCCCTCCCTAGTTGCCTTCCTTCTGGTCTCATTTTATTTTTACTCCTTAGTCCTTCTACAAGGTTTTATTTGTCCCCTCTTCCTGTGGTCAGCCCACCCCACCACTTGGCTCAGGCCTAGGCCTGTGCTATAATTTGAATGTGTACCCCCCAAAGGCTCATGTGTGACAGACTCAGTCCTCACAGTCCTGTGTTGATGATATTCAGCAATGGGGATTTGGGGAACTGATCAGGAGTTTGAGAAGTTCAAATGTGAGGGCAGGGTCACTCTAAGGGTCTTCCTGGCTAGCCCCTTACCCTGTCAGGTTATAATGCACCTAGAAGACCCTCACAGATGCCGGCCTCCAGAACCATGAGCCAAATAAACCTCTATCCTTTATCAATTATCCCAGCGCAGGTATTTGTTTTAGCAACAGAAGAGAGACCAAGACAGTCTAGGGGACCATGGAGCCACACTTTTCATGAGCCCCTGGCACCCTAGGCTTAGTCTGACACTGAGACCTGGGGAAGGTCTCCTCCTGGACTTGGGGACTGGTTCTCTTCCTCAGAGAGAGTCCACAGTTTCCCTCAGGGGTCAGGAATTGTCAGAACTCTTCGGCCATCTTTGATGGGGTCCTCTGAGCTGCCATTGTCCCCAGCAAGAGCACATGAGCCAGAAGACCTTGTGTGTTATCACCTGGTGGTCTCTGGTAGTGGGCCTGCCTGGGCAATGCCAGCTGACTCTAAGAGACACCCAGTAGGCCTTTTGCTGTGGCATAGAGCATATCTGTGGGACATAAACATTTTTCTTTGCTGGGTGGTGGTGGTGCTCGCCTTTAATCCCAGCACTCGGGAGGCAGAGGCAGGTGGCTCTCTGTAGTCTGAGGCCAGCCTGGTCTACAGAGTGAGTTCCAGGATAGCCAGGACTGTTTCACAGAGAAACCCTGTCTTGAAAAACCAAAAGCCAAACCAATCAACCAACCAAAGAAACAAAAAACCCTTTTTCTTTGAGATGGGGTCTCATGTAGCCCAGGAAACCACTAAATAGGCTGTGTTGGGCTTCTGATCCCCCTGCCTCCACCTCCCAAAGGGCTGGGTTTAGAGTATGTACCACTGCTTTCATTTATATGGTGCTGGGGATCCAACCTAGGGCTGTTGTGCACGCTGGGTAAGCACTGTACCAACTGAGGTACATCCCTAACCCCATGAACCATTTTGGAAAGAAAAAAAAAATCTCTGATCTTCAAAGTTCTGTTTGGTCTCTTTATTTTCTTTAGAAACTATTGACACACAAAGCCGGGCTTCACCTGCGGTAGAAGAAATCTATGACAAAGAAAATGAGCAGTGTGGGCCGGGGGCTCCTGGGTGGGAGGGGGCTGGCTTCCTCAGGCTCCTTATTTTTCTGGGGCACACGCGTCTTCCCGGGGCACACAGCCCTCCCCTCCCCCTCCCCCAGACCTTTCAGGTGAGAAAACTTTCCATTGTTGCCCTATCTCGTGGTAATCCACTCGCCTCCTTGCGGGAACCACAGGTGCACACAGATCTGAGGCCCGATCTGTTCCACTGGGTGCCAGGCAGGGCCGGGGACGCGAACCCCAGCATGAAATAGCGCCCGCAACCGCAAGGCCGGGTGTGCGCCCTCTGAAACCATAGGTAAAGACAATTACCGGCAGTTTCCAACCACCGTTTTGTTTTTTGTTCAAAGGCCACCGAGCATTCTCAGCAGCAGACCTGAGACGTAGTATTCCCACCACACGCCACCTTCACAAACGTGCGATAAAAGCTGTGGTCGCTTTGTCCCGGCTCTTCCTTTTAACAGTCAAACCTTCAAGTTTGATGTTGAAACTGCTTTTTTCTTCAAGTGGGCTCTGATGCTTAGATAACGCTTAGAGATAAGGAACCTGCCTTCAAAACCGCTCACTGTACCTCCGGCTCACCACCAGGAGCGTCACAAGGGAAAATCAGACACCTGAGCTCCTGAGAGGGAAGAATGTGCTGAGTCTGTGAAATGCTCCAGGGTCAACTTGGGAGATTTGCAGGGGAGGAGGGAGGGAGCGAGGGAGGGAGGGAGGGAGGGAGGGAGGGAGGGAGGGAGGGAGGGAGGGAGGGAGGGAGGGAGGGAGAGCATTTGGGAATGTAGTAGCTTAGTTGGTAGGGGGCTTGCATAGCATACTGGAAGCCACAGGTTCAATCCCCAGCATGATGTAAACCAGGAATGGTGGCTCATGCCTCTAATTTTGGCACCTGGGAGAGGGAGGCAGAAGGATCAAAAGTTCAAGGTCCTCCTTGGTTATGTATGAAGTTCGGGGCTAGCTGTGTTTCAAACAAACAAATGAGAAGAGAGAGAGAGAGAGAACTGAGGACTCTAGTTTAGTTGGCAGAGGGCTTGCCTAGCAGGCACAAAGCCCAGGGCCTCCAGTACTGTGTAAATTAATGATGTGACACACACCCTATAATCCCAGCACTTGGGGGATGGAGGCAAGAGGATCAGTTCAAGGCAGCTTTGGCCACACAGGGAGTTAGAGGCTTGCCTGATCTATGAGACCCTGTCACCCTCCCCCCCCCCCAAAAAAAAGGGGAAGGAAAGAGAAAAAGGAAAAAGGCTGGGGTCGTCAGTACCACACAAAGTAGGCACTGGGGGCATATGCTTGACATCTAGATCAACGGTTCAAGACCATCCTTGGCTATGCAGTTGAAAGCCAGCCTGAGCTACATGAGATCCTTTCTCAATTAAAAACAAAACAAAACAAAACCAAAACAAAACAAAAAAACCCAACCAAAAAACAATAGTAACAAAAAATGTCAGACTCGTCCATCAGTTTTGCTTAAATGTATGACTGTGTAACGGTGAGCTGTGGTTTGTAATCCCAGAACTTCACAGGTAGAAGAAGAAGGGTTGAGTTCTAACTTAGCCTGGGCTGTACAGCAAGACACTACCTGAAAATAAGACCCTATGAGACTGTGTTAGGTGGTGCCTAGCATCCCCTAGGACCTGGGACATCTGAGTATCTTAGGAGGTGGTGCTGGCTCTAGATTCATTGGCTTCTGTGAGGGAGGTCAGGCTATCAATATTTGCATCTGCCAAGGCATAGAGGGCCACTTCGGTAATCCCTGCATTTAGGGTGTTGGAGCGAGATGACCTTCAGTTCCAGACCAGCCTGAGCTGCGGCCATAGAGAGAATCCTGAGGCCAAGGGAAGGTCTGTTGGCTATGGCCCTTACAGTGTCTGTAGAGACAAGGTAAAGACTTCCAAGCTTCTCCTGCATCTTAAGACAAACTCCCTTGGCTCTTGGTTTTATTGTAATGCTTTTAATGTAATGGTTTTAATGTCTGCTTTTCTTTAATTTTTTATTTTATTATTTTATATGCACAGATATTTTGCCTACATGTATGTCTATGCACCACATGTGTTCAGTGCCCACAGAGGCCAGAAGAGGGCTTTGGGTCCCCTGGAATTGGAGTTATAGACCATTGTGAGCCACCATGTAGGTGCTGGGAATTAAACCTGGTCCTCTAGAAGAGCAGCTAGTGCTCTTAACCACTGAGCCATCTCTCTAGCCCCACTTTTTTTTCTGTATTCCTTTTTTAGAGTCTCATGTAGCTTGGGCTAGCCTAGAACTCTGTGTATAGCTGAGGATGACCTTATATTCCTGATCCTCCTAAATCCACCTCCCAAGTGCCGGGATCACAGATGTGCACTACCATGCCAGCTTTATGTTGTACTGGGGATGGAATCCAGGACTGCGTTCATGTTAGCCAAACACTCTACTGAGCTCCTAACCAACCCTCATTTTTAGCTTTGCCTTGTGACCATGAACTCCAAGGATCCGAGCCTGAGGGGTTGAGGAGTGAGAGCCGCTTTAGATCAGAGAAATCAAGTCTTAAATTATATCTTGCTAACTGTGTGACTTTAGGTGAGTTACTTCACCTCTCTGGGCTTCAGCTTCGTTATCAGGAAAATTCAGGCTTCATAGTAAAAGCTCTTTAGATGTGAGTGCCACCGCCAAGTGATACAGTCTATGATTCTATGAACCGCCAGGATTTGCGTAAGTTTAATATCTTATAGGTTTCTAAGTGTTTTCAGATCGTTCAGCAGCTGCTTTGATCTCTGCCACAGAAGCTGTGGGTACTCAGGCGGGTGTGCCAAGCTTTCATATTCCCATTTCAGAGACAGGAAAATGGAGGGACAGAGAGATCAAGTGGCTAAACAGAGGAACGAACAGTGATAAGCTGGTCGATGAGGCCTGGGCAGACATATAGGGAGCTATGGACTCCTGTCTTATGGAGCAGCCCCCGGTACCACAGAGAAAAAGAGACAAAAATAAAATTTTGCTTTGGTCCTTGGCAGCTTCATGACTACAGGCATTTGGCTTAACCTTCTGAGCTGGGATTAGAACCTAGGGCTTTGAGCTGGATGGACAAGAGCTCTGCCATAGAGCCACACCCCAGCTCTGGAGCCTAGAATTTGAATTTCATGA